TGAGAAAAAAAATGTAGAGCGGATTGTGTTGAATTTTCAGGATTTCCCAACGATTGAAGTGCAATATCACTGTATCAGAAAAGCGAAAGCAGTTTTAGAAAGCCATAAGTATACTATTTTGGTTAAAGATTCTGCATGAATTGAATACACATCACAGAAGTACATCTTTATCAAGAACATCGCCCCCCCCCCTCATCATGTCGAATTTTCATGACCGGGCAAATCGTCCCCCACAATTTCCCCGTCCTCCATCTGCCCAGTTTTCAACACAGATTTACTCCACTGTGAGCTCCTTTTAACATTAGATCCCTTCCCCTAATTGTCCCACCTTTTTAACTTTTTGGTTTGGGGAAACTTTGAAGCTATCGGGACCAGAGTCTGGACTGATCTCGTAGCCCGTACTCTATGTCCTATCGCTGGCAATTACCGATGAGGTATTCTTGCCACGTACCTTTTCAAACAAACCACTGACAAGTTCTTTGAAAGATTTTTGCAACGGAAGGTATTTCACTTACCATTCAAAGGAACGTCCTTGCTTTCCTTTTTAAATTGAATCGATTGATTTGTCTAGAGTTTTATAGAGATTCTTCCACTCTTGTAATGTAGAAACCACACCTGTAGCACAGATTTTGGAAAGTGTAGACGCGAAGTGTTTCCTGGAAAATGGCGCCGACAAGGTGTGGTGTGTAGGGATACGCAAGCAATGTACAGCGAGTGGTACAGAAGGCCGCTTGCGTTGGTTTGACATTGATGTCTATTCCAAACTGTACGGTACATTCTCAAAGCCGCCTTACGCTTCAGTGCACAGTAATTTGCAAACCACAGTTTGTCATGAACTTCAAAGCCAGTCCCTTCAACCCAGTCTCCCTTTCAACTCATTTCCACACCGTTGTGTCGAGACTCCATTCTGTTGGGACGAACCTAGCCACAGCTGCACTATAACAAACTACGGTAATACACAGTAACGTGCCGTTCAGCACTGAACAGTTGGATTACACAGACTTTACGTTGCCAGTCCTGAGTGTGACAGAATGTTTCATTCTTTGTCGGTTTGCGGGGAGCTTGTCAGAACATCGCCTTTTCAGGTCAAGAGATGGATCGTTCAGACCTACCACGCGGTACCATTACGCTTATTAGAACCGCTCTTGAAATCAGCAATCAGTGCAAGAAATTAACCAAGATTTGATAGCATAAAGTGTCCTTGGTATTTGCGTAATAAGACGAAGACTAATATTGGTGACACTTTCTCCTGAGCTTAGGAAGTTGTTTCAAAACATTGATGTCATTTGGAAGAGAACAGGAATTTAGAATTATAAGGTCAACATCGTTTAGACGCTACAAGGAGGCTGTCCCAATACGAGGCGAAGACTATAAATGGCACGTAGACAGAGACGGACACAGGATGCAATTTGCCACATTCAACCTTGATTTATTTCCACCTCAACTATGTAGATACAAACTACAGCTATAGGGCCTACGTGCATTTATATCAGATAGTGCAATGTTTATTCTCTTATGAAACTTAAAAACCGGACAGTCATATTGGGGGTTTCCTTTAGACTGTACAGTTTCGTCATCGACGGTCAGATAATGGCTGTGTCGTGCACAGACACGAAACGAGAGTCCCCAACTCTAACTGTGGCCATGCATATTACGCTCTCAAATAATCTTTACGGCGAGCCCAGAGCAAAATCAATTGTAGTGCGTTTCGAATAAGCGTCGCTACTACCCCGACGGCTGTTCATTACACAGAATACACTATACAGGCAACGTACATAGCCAGCTGTGTTTCATGATCAGTTCACTGCATAGCAAAAGGGGTAACTGTGCAATAATACGATAAATCTTATTCTTGGAAATTATTTTTCTGATGAGGGCTTGGACACTGGTTCAAGCCGTTTTTACGCCCGAGGCTTGCCGCTCACTGGGAGGTCAACCCAAACTTAACAACTGACGCACTGATATGCAAATAACCGAGTCACAACGCATATTATAGTTACGTCATAATACATATTCACATGACAAAATTGAAATGGTCAGGTCGCTTTCACTCAAGCACGGTCTTATGAAATTATTAAAGCCTATAAACACTGTCAAAACTACCAAATCCATCAAACCTACAGGACTTTACCAATGAACTGTTTTAAAGGTTCATCCTTTTTTATTTTATCTTTAAACTTATGTATTCCCGTAACAGGTCTGCTACCAAAAACAAAACTAAAGGCGTATTAATATTTACACAGGCTTGACGTTCGAGATACTCTCTCTACGGATTTCAATTTAGTTGCCAAGTACTAATGTGATAGGGAAGAAAACGGATATCTAGAATTATAGGATCAACATGGTTTAAATGGGACAGGACAGGGAAGCCATTCTCAACTTGAATGCAACAAGCACCGGACGTGGTATGTAGACGTAGAGAGACACACAAATGTCGCTTGTAATACTCAACTTTGATGTATTGACCCAACTAACTAGCCGGGGTACAGTCACACATACATGTAGGCGTCCTCAGAAACTACAGCCTAGAAGGAAGAAATTGCATTTCTTGAAGGAACAAAGTATTAAATCAAAGCAGTCGATGTGCAAAGCTCTTCTATCAAACACAGAATACGTACATTTTATTCATACTGCAACAGCAATGTCCCTACACTTCAGATTTTATCACAAAAGTCATGAAATACCCAAAGGGATTTCCTTTTTAGACTGTATGATTTCGTTACTGACAACCAGATCATATGTCACGCGCAGACAAACAAACAGGAGTAATTAAACAACCTCATTTATGGCACCCTTTAACACCTCTCTCACAAACTTCCTGGAGAGCCCAGAGGAAGTTTTTGATCCGTGTCGTATAACGGGTCTGGTTCTTGATACGTCCCCAAGACTTTTTGATTACTGATAACGTACGGCTTACTTCGTATCACTACATAGTACAAGGGGCAACTATACCACCATACGGAAAATCCAGTAAATCTGTCCACTGTTAAAAGTAGTCTTGGGACTTAGCTTTTTTATTTGGTAGAGGTTTAGATGCGTGTTCAACCCTTCCTTGTGCAGGAAGCATTCAAGGAGGTCAGCCGAAAAGTAACAACTTTACCCACGGATTTGAAAATAACCGTTACAATGTCAATTACCTACGTCATGATAAATATTCATATTTAAAAAAGTGGAAAGGTCATGTTGCCTTTAACCCTAACACTCCTCAGTCCTCCAACAGGTGAAGGATTGAGGAGGGTTAGGTTAAATAATACTCAGGCATAGTCTTTGAAAACGTTTATATTCTGTAAGTGGAATATTGTTGCTGTCAGTAATTAAAATTTTGTAAATAAAATGCAAGAAAATTAAGCAATTTACAAATGAAACGTTTCACAACCTACATTTCATCTTGCTTTTGCCTCTGCCACAGAGAAAAACATCATTTCATTCTCTAACAAAACCTTCATTTGAATTCAAATGAATACGAAATGATTTTTGTTTCGAAAGAAGTTGCAAAGGAATTGAATCAATATAACTCTCCTCCAAATAGTGACATTGGGCCTCTTTTAACGAGGTATTAATTCGTAATATACATTCAACCGCAGGTAAGAAAAAGGCGGTTCAACACAAAGGGACAGTTTAGTTATGAGGGGAATATTCCTCCAAACGTGAGTTCCACATCGACTTTTTTCAAATCTACTTCACTATTTAAATGATGAGACCTTCGCTATCCCACTACTCACACAAAATAAGCTTTTGAGAAAATCACAATTTTATGTAACTCTCAATGAGAACAATTTGACTTCAAATATTATTTTTCATTTTTATACTCTCCTCAATTTGATAATCCCCTGCAAGATGTGTGCATTAAAATGAGTCTGATTCTTTTGATGAGACAAGCGAACAACTTCCCATATCTCCTGTGAACGCTTACGGTAGGCATAACCTCACCAATATTGGGATACATTTACTACTGTTAAATGGATCTATGAAAATAATTCACATGTCGTGAGGAGATATAGTTAACAATGCAAAAGTGACAAAGGAAATTTGTTTAAATGATAAGCACTTTATGTAGCTCCCATACTTTTGAATCCCATCTCAGTGAAATTTTGATGTAGTTTGCTTTCCATTTCTGCTATGCAGTAAGCCTACGCAAACTTTGTGTATCTTATTTTCTATAAAAAAAGAAGTGATGAAATTAAATGCAATGTTGTTCACACTGCAACATTTCCGACTAATGCTACTGCTGTTTCCTCCCGAAGAAAGCGGAAGGAAATCGACTTGTTTGTGTTACATTAAACAAAGTCATAAATCTTCACTGAGTAGAAGTCTCCAACTGCCAGTTGCCCATCTGCTGTGAATGTGATTCCCATGGGCCGGTGCAGACCCTCTGCGATGCAGTGGAGAAAGCCACCTTGAGGGTCATAGTGGTGGATATGACCGGTGTCACTGCCATTATGAATTGCAACATAGACGCCTGTGCTATCTGCGCATACACCGGTACAGTATCTAACTACCTCACCATCGATGGTAGGTTTGATGGTGAACAGTGTATCACCATTCCCATCAACAACATCGACTAACTGTTGATCCCAGTCACTGATTACGACTCGATCATTGCTGTCAACAGCGACATAACGAGGTTTAATTTTGACTGGAATGGTGCTTCTGAGTTCGCCATCAGTGTGGCTGTGTTTGGTCAGCACCATTCTCTTGATATCACCAACCACAATGGTCCCATCCGTCTTGGCTGCTACACTCTGGAGGTCCACTGCGGTCTTACCGACCTCACTCGGTGGCACTGTGGGGAACTGGAAAGCCAGCGTGTTGCCTTTGTCAAAGACTTTCACGTGGGATGCGTTATCCTCAACAACCACCAAGCGATTGCCGGTGTGTGTAGCTGCAATGCCACGTGCCCCTGTTTGGAGTTGAAAGACAAGAAGAAAAGCATTAACCAATCACCCACGTTCATGAAGAGTTATAAAGCCAGAGACCTAGGATCAACCATTGTCCCCTCCTCGACAAATAGATCCCGGGAACCTGGAATTATTTATTATGAAGCAACCAATATGAAGTTCACGGAAGAAGTGACAAAAAAAAACAAAAAAACGGCTTAACGTGTAGCTACGTTCATGCATAGCAAGTGAACAAGGATTCATGTAGAATGTATATTGAAGCCTCCCCCTCCCTGTCTAGCGAGTCCGTGGAATTTAGAATTTTTCCTTCCCTCACGACAATAAGCCCAGCCGGAGTCACTTCTCAATCTTTGTTGTTGCCAGGCTTGCTTTAAATATTCGTAATATTTACACACTAGAACACTCGGTCGTGTGGCAACGAACTTTAGGAAACGAAAGTAAATTTTCCGTCAAAAAGGAGCAAGAGGGCGCTTNATAGATTCTGCATGAATTTAATATACATCACAGAAGTACATCTTTATCAAGAACATCGCCCCCCCATCATGTCGAATTTTCATGACCGGGCAAACCCCCCCCCATTTCCCCGTCCTCCATCTGCCCAGTTTTCAACACAGATTTACTCCACTGTGAGCTCCTTTTAACATTAGATCCGTTCCCCAAATTGTGCCACCTTTGAAACTTTTTGGTTTGGGGAAAATTTGAAGCCATCGGGACCAGAGTCTGGACTGATCTCGTAGCCCGTACTCTATGTCCTATCGCCGGCAATTACCGATGAGGTATTCTTGCCACGTACCTTTTCAAACAAACCACTGACAAGTTCTTTGAAAGATTTCTGCAACGGAAGGTATTTCACTTACCATTCAAAGAAACGTCCTCGCTTTATTTTTCGAATTGAATCGATTGATTTGTCTAGAGTTTTATCGAGATTCTTCCACTCTTGTAATGTAGAAACCACACCTGTAGCACAGATTTTGGAAAGTGTTTCCTGGAAAATGGCGCCGACAAGGTGTGGTGTGTAGGGATACGCAAGCAATGTACAGCGAGTGGTACATAAGACCAGACCTGCGTTGGTTTGACATTGATGTCTATTCCAAACTGTACGGTACATTCTCAAAGCCGCCTTACGCTTCAGTGCACAGTTATTGGCAAACCACAGTGTGTCATGAACTTGAAAGCCAGTCCCTTCAACCCAGTCTCCCTTTCAACTCATTTCCACACCGTTGTGTCGAGACTCCATTCTGTTGGGACGAACCTAGCCACGGCTGCACCATAACAAACTACGGTAATACACAGTAACGTGCCGTTCAGCACTAAACAGTTGGATTACACAGACTTTACGTTGCAAGTCCTGAGTGTGACAGAATGTTTCATTCTTTGTCGGTTTTGCGGGGAGCCTTTCAGAACATTGCCTTTTAAAGTCAAGAGATGGATCGTTCAGACCTACCACGCGGTACCATTACGCTAATTAGAACCGCTCTGGAAATCAGCAATCAGTACAAGAAATTAACCAAGATTTGATAGCATAAAGTGTCCTTGATATTTGAGTAATAAGACGAAAACTAATAATGGTGACATTTTCTCCTGAGCTTAGGAAGTTGTTTCAAAACATTGATGTAATTTGGAAAAGAACAGGAATTTAGAATTATAAGGTCAACATCGTTTAGACGCTACAAGGAGGCTGTCCCAATAAGAGGCGAGGACTATAAATGGCACGTAGACAGAGACAGACACAGGATGCAATTTGCCACATTCAACCTTGATTTATTTCCACCTCAA